CCGCCATTGAAGAAATCACGCACATCCGAATCGAGGCAACCCAGGACTTTTTTGCAGCGGGCGATGTTGGCCATAAAACGATCGAACTCATCAAATGCAGTGAGAAGCTTGCGAAATTGCAGGGGCGCAGTTGAGCACAGAGCATCGTTTTCTTGCAAAAGCCGAATTCGCTCACTGAGATGTTCTCTGGCCTTGCCTAAGTGTTTGGCCCACCCAAGAGCTACAGCCCAGGCGCGTGCCTGCGGATCCTTATAAGTCCTCCTTCTGGGGGGAGTCCAGACAAGCTTTTTGAAGTGGGCCTCCAGAGGCCCGCTGCGGCCAACATAGGCCTCGGCGGCTAAGCCAACACGGTCCCACCTGGCGGCCAACTCTCTTTCCACCCCTTCGAGGACGAGATCCCAAAAATCAGCAACCTTGGCTACAGAGTCAACTTGCGGGGCAGCGGTCGACAAAACCGAGTGCCACGGGCATATAGGAGGTCTAGCGCAGCCAATGGGAGGGGTAGACGGGAAAGCTTTCGGGACCTTGGCCACCCGAGCCCAAACCGGCGTCTCCCGAGCCCTCAAAGTGAGCTGGACGGGGAGGTGAGGGTAGGTGGTGGCAGCCTCCAACACACACGTGCGGGGGTTAAGCTTTGGCGCAAGCCAACTGCTACAAATGAAATAATCGATGTGCGTGCCAGGTGAAACCTGCCTGCAGGTGGGCGCCTCAGAAACGAAAGCCAGACCGCCAGCAGCCGCGATCCAGTCGGACTGGTCCAGGGCAGCGAGCGGCATGTTGAAATCGGCGCCGATGACCCACGGAATCTGCATGCCGTTGAGCACTGACAGGTACTCGATGATCTCCCACACCAACTCGGCGTTACACGGCCCATACCCTTCGCCGTCCTTGAGATAAGCCGACAGGAAGACAACCCCGCCAGGCAGAAAGGACATGACGTGCGCAGCCACAAGCCTGCCAGGGACGAGGACATGACTAGCGCAGCCAGGGGGCGCCTTGATAGGAATATGTGACCTGACCAAAACTGCAACTCCGCCTGTAGTGCCAGGCCCTCCATCCTGATTGGGCACGGCAGGGCCCCAGAGCCCTCTCCAGCCAGTATCTTCAACTTGCGACTGTCGCTCGCCAAGCTTGGTATCAGGAACATGGTGCTCTTGTGCCAGCACCACATGAGCAGTGCTGTCCGCCAGGTAGTCGCACAGTGGACCCAGCGAGCTCGAGTTGAGCGTCACAGTATGCGAGTCACTTTTGCCCTTCTGGCCAGCAACCTTGACATCAGGTCGACGAACCCCTGGACAGTCGGTACCCTCTGCCACGCGTTGCCCATCGGGCGAGCGGGGTGAGCAGTGCGTGCTGCCAGGGCCTAAAGGATTCATGCCATAGGAGCAACCAGTAGTAGAGCCAGCCACCCTCGTCGAGCAAGAGGCCGAACTCGTCAACGCAATAGGCGCACATGTGGCGCTCTCTGCCTGCCACCTGGTGACAGGTGAGTGTAGCGACCGAGACGATGACGTAGCACCCGCCGTCGCAGTGGCTGCCCTTGCAGAAGACGCAGGAGGGGCAACCTGAACGCATGTGACTGGCAGATATGGCTGACTGTCAGATGCTTCATCAAATTGAAAGGGATCAACATCAGGATCGTCCATGAGAGAACGTCTGGGAGCTGAGGTCAGCTCATCTTGGGCAGTAGGCGTCGTCATTGCAACAGGGTTATAGCATAGACAGAACAAAACCACAGCGAGCCACCCAATTACATTACGCAGCGGTCGCACCACTGGTCTTGAACTTCTTGGTAAGCGAATGAACTTGTGCCAAGTGACGCTTGAGCTTATCACGCAGCTCTCGCACCTTGGGCTCGTCAAGCTCGTCGTCTTCCCCGCCCACGTCGACATCAATGCCACATTCTTTGAGATGTTCACGGCATGTGCGACCGTCCAGGCCATCAACGTGAGCATTAGCACGGTCCTGATCCTCATCATCGTCGATATCCATGGATTCTCGAGCCTCAGGAGGAGCGGAGTGAGCCTCAGGCTGGGACGGTTCAGGTGCAGCAGTGACCTCTGGGGCTTCCTTGAGCTTCTGCACCAGCGCGCGCATGGCGATGAGGTCGGCGCTGAAACGCTCCGATCCGCCCAGCGCGCGGACCACGGCATCGAACTGCTCGACCGTGGCCTCCATGCTTGGCAGGAAGGTGGACAGGGAGGGTGACTTATCATCAAACTGCACTGCGGGACCGACCACATGGCGCAACCTCTCCTCAAGCTCCACGATGTGCTTGTTAGCGTCCTGCTCGTCCTGCTCGACCTGCGCGAGGGCCTGCTTGGCCTTCTCCAGGGTCGAACGAGCAGCCTCCTTTTTGACAGCCAGGTTGGACAGCTTCGTGCGAGCGGTCTTGAGCTGGCTGGTGAGCCCCTGCAAGTTGGCCTCCAGCGGTTTGTCGGCCTGCAACTCGGCCTGCAGGCGCTGCTTCTCGGCTTCGAAAACCGCACGCTGCTCGGCGTCCTCAGGCCCCGACAGGAGCTTGAGCAGACTTCCAAGCTTGGTGAGGCGCTCACGTTTGACAGCAGCGTCAGTGCCTTTAGCCCAGGGAGGAATAGCGGGCTCCTTGGGCTCCAAATCCGTACCATTATGATTGCCAACCAACTTCTGCATGCGCTGCTGTAACTCTTCCAACTGCTTCGTGAGAAGCTTCTCACGCTTCGTGGCCATGTCGTGAGAGCGCTGGACGGGGACCTTGGGCGGGGGCACACCATGGAACGCAGAGCCTTTCGGGATGCCACACTTGCCACACCACTTCTGATCGCCACGGTTGATCCAGCTCGTACCAGTGGGCTCATGCTTGCACCATTTACAATACCATGGGCCTGCCTCCGTACTGCGCGACCTGGGAGCCATGCCGACGGGCGGATGGGCAGGCCGAGCGCGTACACGAGAAGCCACGCGAGGCAAGACAAGCGGGCCGTGGTGGGGCTGGGCCGTGCGG